GTGTCATATTTGTCCTGCCAGCGGTCAGATAAGCCATGGGAAATATTTACTCTGTCTCAGCGGAAGTCAAGCAAGCCACTGGGGCAGAGGGAGAAGGGGGAGGCACAGTGTGATAGACGAATGAGGAGGAGGACGAGCAGATACTGCAGGGAGTGAACGAGCAGATGAGAAGGAAAGATGGAGAAAAAGAGGAGGGAAAAAGGAGAGAAAGCGGAGATTCCCTCCAGTGGTTTTTCATTAAAGCCTCTGGTGAAAGTTAATGAGGGATGCGTACAAAGCTCTGAGACTGATTACATCACAACTCCTTTGATCAACGGCGTGAGCATGCAGCTCTCCCTCTGTGTGCGTGTGCATCTCTGCTTTAATACTTGTGCAACTGGATGTACTTAATCACAGCCTGGCGTGCATGCATCGACGCAGTGTGCTCGTCTCTGTTTACATGTGTGTTCAGATGCCTGTGTGCCCTCTACTCCATTGAGTATCTATCAAGATGTGACATGTTCTAATAGCCGTGGAAAAGCTGACTGTGAGGATGACGGATGAAGGCGAGACAGAAAGATTTTGAAGGCTGCAAATGAAGAGCTCCGTTGTTGCCTTCTTGTAGGATGTGAGAAATTGGGAATGCTCTGTATGTCGCAAAACTGTTAAAATGGGATAGTTATGCTTTCCAAAACGGAAACTTCATAATGCAGTGTTCTTTCACTGGCATGCTGGGTATGCACAGTTGTTCAAACACACACACACACACACGCACACACTCAAAGAGAGAAGCCAAGGGCCCTTAGTCATGACATGCAACAACTAAAAACAGAAATTTATGGTGTCACGCTGGCCAACACAAATAGAACATGACAGAAAAAACGGAACTATGTCTCTGCCTCTGAATAGATTCTACGTAATCCAGTGCTGAACAGTATTTAAGTACATTTTAAGTACTGCACTTAAGCACAATTGTGAGGTACTTGAGATCATTTTTTGCTGCGTTATAGTTCTACTCCACCAGATTTCAGAGGGAAATATTTTTTCCATTTTTCACATAAAATCCTGCTTACATGTGCATGTAATCAGTAATCAGCATGGATCAGGAATAATAATCAAATCATTTTACATAACATTTGTAAATTGAAAGCAGATACTCCCAATGATGAGTGCTTTTATGTTTAATACATTCAGTGTATTTTGGTGATTTTATACTCACTTTCTTTTATGTTACTTAAGTTACATTTAAGCTACGCTAGCAGCTTTGTCTGCCATCCGAACACTTTAGCACCATCAGGTCAAAATTTAAATGTGTCCGATACTTTTGCTTATGACCACATACTTGGAAAGATTCCCAGCCTCAGCTGTACTTTGTGTCATTGCTATTTAGCACATGTTAGCATGCTAACACAGTAGGATAAGATAGTGAACATAGTGAACATTATAGCTGTACTCAACATCAGCATGTTATAATAGTCACAGTTAGCATGCTGGTGTTAGCAGCCTCACAGAGCTGCTAGCATGGCGGTACGCTCTCAGTCTTGTTACACTTTTGTGCTTTTACATAAATTATTACTAGCATAATTTTACTCAAGCAAAGGAGCTGACTACTATTCAGTCAATATTACTTCCACTTGATTTATCTCAGAATGGCCTCTGTTAGCCTTTGTCAACATTTGTGTTGTGTGTGTGTGTGTGTGTGTGTCTTTGTGTGTTTGTCTGATGACCCAAACACAGGGATATAGTTACAGCGTTTGTACAGGCAGCAGATAAGAAGAGCGATGGAGCAGAGAGCATCAAACGTCAGCTTACATCACAGCTGTTACTGGACATCTATCTTCCAGCCAATTATATTTTTTTCCTGGATTAAAAACATAAAAATGCTATTTTTAACTGTAGCTTGTCAAATGCTTTCCTCTGCACTCATTAACAACTTAGATGTACTTAATAAATGTCTGTGGATGTTGTTGGAACCAAAAAGTTACACAGCTCAGATGTCAGTTGTCTGCCATACGTGTGTGTGCATTATGTACTGGACAGAATGAACTGCAAACATTTAATTTTATGTAGGGGGGAGAAAAATCTATGTATACTACACATACTGACCCCTATAAATAAAGACGTGGAAGATGTACGCAAGTGAACATATACTGTATTCACAAACCCCCTTAAATTGCTTCCATAATTGTTATGTTTAGATTTTTTGCTGATAAATGTGCTATGTGTTTATTTTATGGAGGGTCTCCCTTGCTGGCCGGACCCTGGGAAGATAACCACCAAAAACTATAGCCCTCGCAAAGTCCTCTGTGGAAAATCTGGCTCACTGGGGTGAAAGGTGAGGGGTCAGGGTTGTGAGCCCCGCTTCCTCTCTGCTGGTCAGGACAAATCTTCGAAGGCTCTGGACTACATGACAGAGTCCAGTCGTATATTAGTTCTCATAATCATAGCTGCTTGTGTGGGACATTGTAAGGAAGGGGGCCCCATATGTGTAGGGAACCCTTGAGAGAGGTGAAATGAGGCTAAACTTAGCATCTGAAACACTAGTCCTCAGCTTATAGTGACAAGATGTCCATGTAAGAAGAAAGGATTGCACAGATTTCCAGCATTCCCACTCTGTATGTTCTATTTTCAGCTGAGTCAATATGTTCTATGTGGTTTTATTAATGCTGTTTGTGGATAATAATTCCAAGACAGGGGCTGTTTTTTTATCAGAACATTTGGCAGTGCTTGTTTAAAAAACAGCCCTGCTCACGAGTCCCTTAACCCCTTGACTCAAACCAGCAGCACAAACTGTAGCTCCGATGCCACAGGAAGCCTGGTTCCCATATGTGGTTTTCTCCATGTATAACAGAAAAAGGATGAGAAAGTATTGACGTCCAATTGATCTGACATCTCCTGCTCCTACACACATATGTGAGCACACAACACACCCACACACACAGTGTCCCAGGGGTCATGACTTTGGTCAACCTCATGCAGAGTTTATGAGGTCCAGGCAGCTCCAGTTCCTCTGAGGGGCAATAAAGAAGCTATAAAGATGTTAACAGATAGCCTGGTCCTTGGTACAAACTGTGTGCTCACAGAAAAAAGCAAGAACATGTGGCACCGAAAATGCTTTCAAGTATATACATGACATTCCCACACGTTTGTGTTCCTCAAAATAATCATTTCCATGCTTATTATTTGTCCATTTGTACTGTACTTTTGTTTCAGGAAACCACAATGACTGTATCAATTGGGATCAGATTTACTCGCAGACCATTTGTACTTTACTAACCAAAGAAGCAGTTCTCTTATGATTTAGTTTCTGACTTGCAACAACAACAACTAGGTTCAACTAAATGAGTAAATTGTAACAGAACATGTAATGAGACTAAGAGTCTTCAGCCACACTAGCAGCTCTGTGAGGCTATGCATATGCACCGTGCTGCTTTGAGCTAAATGCTAACATTGCTGTTGTTTAACAGGTCCTGACCTGTTCGTCATCTTAGTTAGCATGCTAACATTTGCTTAATAGCACAAAAAATAGATGGGGAATGTCTTTAGTTCTGCAGGTATTAGGTTATTAGGGTTATAAAAAAAATACTGACCTAAAGGAGCTAGAGGAAATGTCAGAGATCAGTAAAATGATTAAAATTCATCCTGAGTGGGACTTGAATGTGTGTTTCACGCCAATAATTGTCAAGACAAGTCACCCAAAAGCATAAGCAAATCTTATGATGGCAATAGAGGAAAAATTAGGGTATCATCATATGTCCGGACACAATTTCCGACCAATCAATCCTGTGGATGTTGAGATATTTTGACCTGTGAGCTGAATACTTAAATAAAAAGCAAAAATGTTAACCTTATGGTGGCCCTAGAAGAAAATCAACAAACTCATGAGGATTCATCCTCAGGGGACTATAAATGAACGAAATGTTTGTTTGGGCAATTCAACTGAATCCGACTAATATATTTTCCACAATATACTTGCAACACCATATAATAGAGTACTCTAAAAACTGTAACAGAGATTATTACAAAGCTTTTCAATAATTTCTGAGCACTTTTTAAGTTTACATCAGTTTTGACCATCAGTGGTAACATGGGAGACATCCAGAATGTGAGCCATAAATGTTAAAGATGTTTTGAAAAGACTTGTAAATACGCTTGAATTGAGGCTCACAAGGCTCACCAGAGATTTAATATCCTTCGCCATTTTGAAGGACATAGATTCGTGAGGTGAAATCTTTAGTTTGTATGATTCATTTATTCTTAAGTTTTCCCTGTTACAGTGTAATATTCAGGATGCTGACCACACATTGTTGTGTGTGTTGGGTTTGTTGTGGTTTGGTACAAACAAATATATTGCCTTATGTGAAACAGAACTTCACCAAAAGCCAATTATGTGTGCACACAGTTAAACCCTCCTACAAGGAGTTTTAACTGGTTATGAAACAGTCTCAATTTAATACCGATGCCTCTATATGACCTACATAAACAAACAAGACCACTGTCGAGAAGATTTTCTCGCTATTTCTAGCTATTTCTGTTACGAGGATGCCAGAATCAACACAAAATTAAAGTTCCTTTTTGCTGCTTTACATTTGAGTTATTATTGCCTATATGTAGGCTTTAACATTTCCTCGAGGAGAAATGTATTTATTTATGTGATATAGGTGTGATAGAAGATAAAGTCCATTTCATGTTAAGCTGCTCATTATTATGACGATTTAAGAGCTAGTCTTTTTAGTAAAATTTCCTTCATTTTTTAATACTTTTTATTTGGTTGGATGATTATAAAAAAAAGTGCTTTAGGAAGAAAGCCTTTTTGTTTCCAATGTTATTTGCAGGGGACAGAAGACAAAGTTCTTTGTTTGCGATAATATGCTATATGTAAGTTGTATGCTTATGTGACAAATGTTTTACCACTGACACTATATGTCTGGTATCTTATAACTCTGTGTGTTGTTGCAATACCAATAAAAAACACAACCAATACTGACAAGGAACTACTGAGTATTTGACAAGACACAACATGAAATTGTGAAAAATATAGATTTATTTTTGGTTCTAAACAACTGAGGACAATCTCTGACGTAACAAAATGGAACAGTCCATCTTGTAATCATTACCAGCACACGTGCAGTATTGTCCTCTTACCAATGCAATGGGCTAAATTACAATAAATAAAAGCGCCACGCAGTTAAAGTTGGAGCACAAAAGCCAGTAATTGTTAAATGACACATACAGAGAGAACATTTCACAATCTGCCATCTGTGAATTAAAAGACTTGTAAAAGGATGTGGGTGTATTTTTTTCCCTAGGTTTCCATCCTTTGCAAACCATCAGCTCTGTGTACTAGAATTCACTGCATTACTGCTAGAATGCAAATGTGCTCGGACCTTTTCTGTAGAAAAATAAATGACGTGGGGGGAGGAAATGAGAATGGAAATGTTGATGAAAGAGTTTATAACTCTGCTTGCTTGGAAAATGGCCTATTTACAATGCATAATGATACAGACTGTTAATGTGAATGAGATGTGAGATGGCAGTGTGGGATTAAGGTTTCTCCTGCAGCAGGCTGTGGTATCTCAGCTGCGTGTGCTGTACAGGTCTTCATCCTCAGGGTTGGACTGGCCGAAGTCCATTACAGCAGGGTCTGGCTTGAAACCAGAGCCACCTGGAGGGCAGCAAGAGAAATGCAACAAAATCTCAGTCACAAGCACTGAAATATTTCATGGCAAACTGTAAGGGATTTAGCTGCTCTATTTACCCAGACTGACAATAAATGCATCAATAAAATAAACTAGAATTACTAAATAACTAAAATTAAAACCAACCAAAAAAAAGGGTAGCTGGGTTAAAGCCGCACAGTTCTGTGACCATACAATACTAGTGATCTAGTGTTCAGTACAATCAGCATTGAGCACACTGACCCACATATGCACAAATACACAACATCTCTTCCTAGAATTACCTAAATTCCAAGTCATCTGGCTTTGCTGGGTCTCATGTCTAGGCTGTGCTCTTTCCTGATCCAGATAGGATTAGGATTCATTTGATTACCCTTCATCAAAATTGTAGAAAGAAAAAAAAAATGCTGTGGAAATCCGCGAGCAGATGGAAAAACCGAACCAATGAATAAATAAATCTCTGCACTGATAAACCTTGTGCTCAGTCAGTGGATCAAAATAAAAGTGAAGGAGGGGTAGGCCGTGTTAAACATAAAACAAATATCCACATACAAAGTAGATATTGATATATAACATGTGTTATACGTGTTATTAGCTGCACATAATAGAGTTACAATGAACCACCCAGAGTTGTGTATAAACAAAACATGATTATTAATGCCCATTTTTTATGTGAAGTTTAAGTTTCACGTCTCATCTTTAGACCAACCTGCTCTCATGGAATATTGATGAACTAGTGTTATTAAGAATAAAACAAAAAGTAAACAAAATACATTAAAAAAAATGGCATTTGGATGCTTCTTTGTCTTGAGGAGTACACATATAGTTGACATCTGCAGCAACGTACAACAGGACATTTATTTTCCTAGGAGATTGAGATTATTTGGAGCAAACATTCTGTTATTATTTTTCCAATGTAGAAAACAGTGTTATGCAAAATGGGATCACTGCATCATACAATTATATTTCTGAAGGGAATCCAGATGTTGACTCTTACATCAGATCCCTCTCATGTTTTATTTGGTGGATATTATTCTTTGCTGTCTAACAGAAGAATCCCACAGGTTATGGTACAGGAAAATGCTTGCAGAAGTAAGAATGGAAATAAATAAGATTTTATTGATACCAACACCATTATCGATTCCGCTTATCGGTCAGATTCTTTATTGATTCCCTAATTGATTCATGATCAATTTTCTGTGTGGAAAATAGTAGCTCTACATCGGTTTTCAGCATTATCTCCGAGTCTGAGCACAGTGTAGAAACAGAGTAGAAAAAGGCATTCAGGAGAGAGGAATGTTAAGCAGAAAGATGTTTCAGCATATTACTGGTGTTTCCACCATTACCTGAAATTATCATTACAACAAACACTCTTGTTCTACTTATTTGTGATATCAAGAATTTCATTTCCTCCTCCCTGCCGTGACTCATTTAGTTTCCAACAGTGTACGCGCATGTGTTTGACGTCAAAGTGCAACTTTTAGAAAAACGTCCCCGCATCGATAAAAGGAATTGATAAGCTCGAGCACGTAAGATTTCAATTAATCACACAATTTGTGACTGGTTCTCAACTGGAACCGGGTCTCGATTCAATATGTACCTGTCTACTGTATGTCAGACACTGAATGTTAAAGAATTCAATTAAGTGCACTGAAGCTGTTTTTTTTTTATTGTTGTGCAGTACTTGATTGTTTTTTCATGTCATGCACGCAAAACAGTTTCCGTGGAAACATTGCAAGATCAAATCTCAGCTTATCTAACATCTGGATACTTAACACCACACGAACTAACAAGGTGCACACATTCAGGTTTCTCTGAGCTGCAGTGTGTCTGTGTGTTTCAGTAAGTCAAAGCTCAATTCTTAAACCTGAGAAGTGGTGTGGGTGCAGCAGGTGTTCACAGTACCTGTTCTATTTTCTACTGCAGGCTGTTGAGGAGGTTGTGGTGTGAGTGTTGGGTTTAATGTCTCCTCCACAGCGGCGACTTGTGTTGGGTCAGCTAACTCAGGCTGAGGAGCAGAATCAGGATCAGGTTCAGCTGATTCAACAACTGGCACTGTGAGGAAATCAAAATACAACACAGGGTCAACAGCATGAACTGATGAAAGCTATTGTGACTTTATACTAATATTACAATGTAGTACTAATAATGTTCTTATAAGAAGAGATGTAGAAATAGCTTTCACAAACTTTTTACAAACACTTATTGGATCATTTCAGTTGTCTTCCATTTTTCACAATTTTCCACACTGAAGTAGCTCCTTGAGTTCCAATGAATCCACTTTCCAACAGCGGTTTTCCAAGGAAGCAGATTCATTGCTAGTACACTTTCTACAATATGGGGCAGAACATTTCTGGTACCTGCTGGTTCGTCTGAGGACTTTGGAGCAGGTAGTTCTTCAGAGGAAGGAGCCGACTCGACTTCAGCTGACTCTGCTGGAGCCGACTCGACTTCAGCTGACTCTGCTGAAGCAGACTCCACTGGAGCAGACTCGTCTAGTCCAGACTCAGCTGGAGCAGACTCAGCTGGAGCAACCTCCACTGGAGCAGATTCAGCTGGAGCAGACTCAGCTGGACAGACTCAGCCTGGGCAGAGCCTCGTCTAGAGCTGGCTCAAACTGGAAGAGCAACCTCCAACTGGGACAACAGGCACAACCCTGGAGCGAGAACCTG